GGTGGTGGGAGGTAGAAGAGGGTGGTTGATAAATGGTGAAGGAAGGAGACTCAATTTGCTGAGGAGAACAAACACAATAGTGCACAGATGATCATAGAACTGGACACCTGAAACCTATATAATTTTATTAACCAAGCCACCCCAATAAATTCAATTTTAAAAAGCTTAAAATTTTGATTTTAATGTTTCATTATTAGAGCCCTTCAAACTTTATGAATATCCAGCAGCAGATTTTAAATCCATTTGATTTAAAGTGAACTAATTAGAAAAACTCTAAAGAGCTAGACTTTTCCGTTACATTTTGATTAGTATACCACACTAAATATTTCCCCAAAACTTATAAAATGTTACATGGATTTGGAAATTCTCCTCGATTGCCATTTTGTTTCATAAAGGCACATTGAACTGCACATTTAACTTATTTTGTGTATCTGATACTCTTTGGTAGATGTATATTAGGCAGGGTTTTTTTAAGACAAACATATCAAATGGTTAAGCTTAAACATAAACTTACTGCTACCAATTAAAGGTTCCTCATGGTAATGTTTTGAAAATGTTCCAGAAATCTCCATTTCTTTCAAAGAGAGTTAGCCAGTCAGTGTCACTGTACTTGTCCATACAAGTCATGGCCCCAACCATTCAGAAAGCAAAGAAACAAAAAGCCTTTTAGACAGACGATGTCACAAATTCTGGATTTCATTTAATTCCTTTTGGCTTTGTCAGGTTGCAAAGACATGGAGTGAACACTGAAATTTTTAAAGACGGTCACACTTTATCTTTTTTTATTAGAGCCTATTTTCTTCTGCTGTTTTTCAGGAATAATCACTGTTGTAAGGATTAAATGAGATAATATGTGTAAACACTCAGAATACTGCCTGGCATATAAGATGACCTAATAAAGGTTATTTGTTGTTGTTGGGGATTTTTTGGGGGGGGGAGTGTCTATTTTTTTTTTTTTCTTGAAAGCTTCTCTTCCCATCCTACCAGCCCTCCATGCCTCTGTCAAGAGGGCACCTTACCTGTTCCAGCATCTCCGGGGTTCCCTGATCTGCTCTGCCCCGACATAACCCGGAATTCCGCCTTCGTGCCCCACTCAGAACTCTACCCCTATTTTCTCATCAAAGGAAATAGGTGATTTACGACTGCCCATCCTCCTCTGTGTAAGGGTCCTTCTCTACTAGAAACACAGAGAACCAAACCTCAGATTCCCCCCAGAATAATAGTCCTGAGCTTGTCATTAAGGAAACTTCTGGCTTTGGATGAGGCCACTTGCCCAAAGGTACCCTTCGTGACTAAGGAGACCGACCACCTGCGTGGTTTCTACAACCTGTGTGGGGGAGATGGCACAGCTATATGAAAAATTCTCTAAGACTTTTCACTCTGCTTCCCCTGGCCTGGAGGGTGTAGGCAGGTCTGTGATCCGAGCTCCCTCCCAGTGGAGCTCAAACTGGCCCCACCCACCCTCCCTGGTCTGGGGGTCCCCCGAAAAGCTCAGTGAGCTCGGCCCTTGCTGGGGACCTCACAGACTTGGTGAGCATGCTGGATGCTGGGTGAAGAGAATGTTTTATCTAACCTACGGAAAACAGAGAGAAAGCGATCGCTTTGTGAAGATAATTAATTTGTTCATTCAACAAATACTCAGCGAAACATCTACTCTGTTCTAGGCCCTGAGGTTACAGTGAGGAACAGATCAGACTTGACTTGGGCCCTGTGGCCCTTGGAACACAGTGAGTCAAAGCCATCATTAGAGAGGCCTGACCGCCCTCCACCCCCAGCCCATTCCCTCTACAGGGAATATGGAACAAACCGTTATTAGCCCTAGGATCCCCCACCCAACAGACCTCTTTCTCTCCCTTCGTCCTGTCCTGCTCTTCTCCTTCCTTTGCCATTTCTCCCTGACTTTCCTCCCCATCAGCACTCTGTTTATCGCTCTACTTTTATCCAACTACCCGCCACACCAACAACTCGGCCCTCGTTCTGTTATTCTCCGGCCAGTTCTAAACAGAGCGGTCTTTCTCAGCTCTGGATAGACAGCAGCTGCTGAGCTCTGCCACGGTAGGATTCAGGAGGCACAGGTGGGGCTGTCCTGGCTGCTTCCTAGAGATGCTGGTCTTTAATATATTCTAATAGGCTGCAGCTTCGGTTACTAAATATCATTTTCTTTATCTCAGTTATCAGGAAAAACAGACGAGGTGTGGAATTCAGGTGTTTGCAGATGGTGAAGACTGATCTTCGAGTTCTAAGAATTACACAAACGTCCTCTTTTATGTAAAATGTCCTAAATGGTTTTATGCAGGAGGCTGGTAAGATGCCTGCAAGACTATTTAAAAATAGCAAATGTACCAGAGCTGTGGGAAAAGGCTCAGCTAGCCCGGCTGGTGTAGCTCAGGGGTTGAGCTTGCACCTATGAACCAGGAGGTCACAGTTTGATTCCTGGTCAGGGCACATGCCCAGGGTGTAGGCTCAATCCCGTGAGGGGAGGAAAGTGAGGTGCAGGGTACGCAGGAGGTGGCCAATCAATGATTCTCTCTCACCACTGATGTTTCTGACTCCTTCTCCCTCTCCCTTCCTCTCTGAAATCAATAAAGTATATTTTTTTTAAAAAGAAGACAAGGAGCCCTGGCCAGTGTTCTCAATGGTTAGAGCAATGCCTTGCACACCAAAGGTTGGCAGTTTCGATTCCTGGTCAAGGGCTGTATCTGGGTTGCAGGTTCAATCCCCAGCCCAGGTCACGTGAAGACTGACCCAGGCCAGGTCACGTGCAGGCAGGAGGCAACCACTGATGTGTTCCTCTCACATCAATGTTTCTTTCTCTAAAAATAAACACCGCGCTGTCATCACTGCACTCCACTGCTCTATACCAATGCAATGCAGGTTATTTCATTTTACAGCAAATCTACCCTTAAATGTGTAGCATTGTTGCTACAGTAACCCCTTAGAGCTAGCTTCTCTTAGATGCAGATAGTTGGTGAAGATGCTAGTAAATAATTTAGGTTATTATTTGAAAATATAACAAGAATTAAGGTTGAGTAAAATTCTGACATATTGTTAACTTATCAAACATTTCAAGCTACTTTTGAAGTGTTTCGTGTTTAGCAAAATGCATTTTCTAACCAGTATAATTCTCTTAACTCAATAAGTTTTGTTAAAATTATTAATCTATACATTTTTAATTAATTTATACTTTACTCATCAACTCTATTTAAAGGATATTTTAATATCTAGGAATTTATGTTAGTTTCTTTTTACAGTTTTCTCTCTCTCCTTAAAATCTATAATGTCCTGGTGATAGGACGTCACCTTGCACCAAACTCTCATATATTAGGATCATTTTGAAACCCTGAAATAAAGAGAATTTTGAACAATATTACAAAACGAACCATGGAATTTTTAACTAAAATAACAGTTCTTTGAATATGTAGTTAAGTGAAATTTTGGCAAAATAGCTAAGAGTAAAAAACATAACTGGGAAGTCAACAGACCAGGCGTCTATTCTTGGTCTTTGCTTGACCTAATCTTAGCTTTCTACTTCAGCCAAATATTGAATATTCTTCACTAAACCAAACACAACAACCCTTTTCACTCCCCTGCCTAATACGGAAGACACTGTTAAGAGGGCATCTGAGTGGCCCTTGGGCTGTTCAGATAAAGAATGGCCTATGAGAGCTACACGCGTGCGTGGTGAAGAGGCAGGGAGGCAGGCCCCCTAGCTGCTGGGGGAAGCAGGAAAAGAAGCCGGCCATCTGGAAGTCAGTGTCGTTCAAGAGCAGAAGCCTTACAATTTTGACTCAAAAATCCACCTCTGTGAGTTTCTCCTAATAAACACCAGGGAACTAAGTAAAAATATGCTATATGAAATATTAAGCGCAAGGTTATTTAAAATAATTTAGGGGACTATTCATTAGTAGGAGAAAATGAGATGCAAAAGTGTTCATAATATGTTTAGTTTTAAAAAGTTATCAAATAGCCGGGACCGGTTTGGCTCAATGGATAGAGCGTCGGCTTGGGGACTGAAGGGTCCCGGGTTCGATTCCGGTCAAGGGCATGTACCTTGGTTGCAGGCATATCCCCAGTAGGGGGTGTGCAAGAGGCAGCTGATCGATGACTCTCTCTCATCAATGTTTCTAACTCAGTGTTTTTCAACCTTTTTTGGGCAAAGGCACACTTGTTTCATGAAAAAAATCACGAGGCACACCACCATTAGAAAATGTTAAAAAATTTAACTCTGTGCCTATATTGACTATATATAAAGTAATTCTCTTGAATAGGAATCAAATAAACACAAAGAAAGTATTTTATAATTACTTTATTATGAAATATTAAGTAAACAAAATAGTGAAAAATTATAAAATTCTTGTCTTGTCTGCACCTTCGGCACACCAGGCAACATCTCGCGGCACACTAGTGTGCCGCGAAACAGCGGTTGAAAAACGCTGTTCTAACTATCTCTCTCCCTTCCTCTCTGTGTAAAAATCAATAAAATGTATTTTAAAATAAATAAATGAATAAATAAATAAATAAACAAACAAACAAAAAGTTATCAAATAGTGTTTACGGTATGATTTCACAGAAGTGTGTATAGATATTGATACTGAGGTAGATCAATAGGTCAATCTATCAATAGATGGATGTATAGGTAGATGGAGATATATTTGCAGGTATAAATATATATATAGTTCTAGAATGTTCTATATGTATATCTATATCTATATGTTTATATCTAGATAAAATGTTAATAAAGATGGAATTTGGGGTATTTTAATATTTGTGCTTCTTATTTGTATTTTTTCTGAATAAACATGATTTTCTTCAATAAATATGTTTCCTTCAATAAACAAGTATTATTTTATAACATGGAAAAATCATTTAAGTAAATTACATGAGGAGAGACTATCATATAAATCAATTAGCAGACTACCATATTACTCCAAAAGAAAAATTTTATTATGAATATTTTTATGCATTTATACTTTTTTAAGCCCAAATTCAATCAATGTGGCTGATGACATGGAAGCTGAGTCACAGCCGCCTCCCCGGGTTTCAGGTGGGGACCATTGAACGGGCAGGTTTTGATCTCCTAGACCTCCCGGGGTCTTTCTGACTTCACACAAACTCTAGGGCACTGAGCCACCCATCACCTGAAACATGACAAAAAGGCACTGAATGGCTGCCTCAATGTACTCTCCATGCACCTGGAAGACAGCTTCAGATTCCCGAAGTGCAGGAATTCCACACTGTGCCTTTATATGCCCAGCAAAAGGGGAGCCAATCCGTCAACCCACGTTCCTTGGCCGGAGAGCTCAGGGAACAGGGAAATTTGTCTTGGCATCCAGTTCCTTCTTGTTTTATCCATCTCGGGCTCCCTCCCTAGTTTAATAACAAAAGAGGAAATGTGGTCACCTCCACTAAGGACCTCGGAGTGAGATGTTGCTAGTGTAATATCCTCTCTGTAAAATGCTGGCTCTTAAGAAGAGTGCTTTAAAGAAATACGTGTGGAAATGCTTTTTTCCAGCGATAGAAGATTGGGGTTCAACCTCATACATGACAGACAGCCTAGATGCTGTGCATGAAAAATATAGAAAGGAACTAATACTGAATCCATTTCCCCATTTTATTTAAGCTGCGGGACATTCTAGAAAACAGCACGCAGAGCAGACATGTGTATCTACTAAAGGTTCAGCATGCAGGTCTCACAGAAGGAGACTCTCTTTTTATTCTTTAATTTTCTTTAATTTGGTTTGTGAGGTTTTCTCCCACTTTATGAAGCTCTGCCTAATTTGTTCATGATGGATCTAGGAGGCAGCATTTTTTTTTAGCATCAGGTGACATGCGCCTCAACTTGAGACTGACCCTTTAGTTACTCATTCTGCAGCTTCTGGTGTTTCTAGTCTGTTCTCTGGCTCACAAAAAGCCCCCCTATGATTGTAGCCACATTCACAGCACTCAGAGCAAGGACCATGAACGAAAGAGAGGCAGACTGTTGAAAGGTTGACTCAGAGCTGCTTCTGTGTGTATTTAAGACTGGAATCCTGAATTTCTACTTGTACATCTCTCCCTTTTCAGACAAATGGGTCCTATGACAAAATTAGTCTAGAGAATTGTTCCCTTTCCTTCTAGAGTCACGGCTCTGGTGACGGCAAGAACCGATGATCACTCCTACCACATGTCAAACCCTGCGCTGGAGATGCACAAGAATTCTCAAGAATTTAAAACGATTAAACTGGAACCTTCTGTAGTGTCCAGATGAGGAGTACATCTTACAGGTCTCATCTCAATCCATCCACTCTTGGTCAGGTCATAGGCTGGAGACGGCCCTACAGGAAAGGAGGAGGAACACCACCACATCTGGATCTGAGGTGTAGAGACTGACTTGAACAGAAAGAATTTGGCACAAATCCACAAAATATAGTGACTTCAGTAAGCACTCTTTTAATAAATTGGATTCAGAAAAATAATATTGTTTCTTCTTATCTTTCTTTTATTAAAGGTCACTAATTAAAGAATAATTGTTGGATTTTTCTTGAATGAGCTAAAAGAAAGACATGGTGTGGTCATTATTCAGATCCTTGAATAAACCTCTCCCCAATCCCCAGGCTCATTAAAAAAATATTGAATCAATACACCAATTAAACTAAACCACAGGGTGGGGCAAAAGTAGGCTTATAGTATTGATTACACAAAACAGTTTGTTCTAGTAGTATTATTTATTAATTATTGTATTATTTTTTGATACAAACAACTATAAACCTACACAGTTTATTCTTGTATTATTACTTATTTATTATTTTTCCATATGAACAATTATAAACCTACTTTTACCCCATCCTGTGTTTCCTAGTTAAGCCACCTAACTTTTTCCTATTCAAACTAATAAAATACAACTTCTTATTGTTGGTCTACTTTGCTCATGGGAAATCCCATCCCTTATAACTTTTCACGAACTCAATGTCAAGTGTGTCTTTTATCTTCATGTCAGTTCACAGTTGATTATGTGCCCCCTACGACGTTGCAGACGCAAACTGCTCTTACAAAGCGGTAGCGAGTATACAAAACAAGTTATTGCTCAGCAGCAGCTATTTAGTAATGCATCATGTGACTCATTGTTTCCCCACAAGTTTATGTGACTACTGCCAGCACCAGAAGATATGTTCCTTTGAGTTATTGCATATTTGTTTCAGCTGAGCTCCTTCAGGTAGACAAAGCACAAAAGAAGTTTAACTTCCTTAGTAACTGCTCAAACTTGAAAATAGCTAATACAGAAGAAAATGGGAACCGGTTGTAAGTATACTGTACCCTATGGGTATTAGGATATCTCTTGGTTTGTATTTCTAAGGGGATATGTAATCATTTTACCTTTTAAAAAAGTTATTAGTTGAGAAATTTCTTTTCCTAAGGAGAAAAAAAAAACAACTAACTTGTTAAACTTTTCATCATATATTGCACTAGATCATCACAGTGGGTTTCCTAAGCCACCTTTAGCAATATACACTTGCTTCTTAAAAAAAATAATAATAATAAAAGTCATTTCTCAAGCACCTCAGTCTAAAGTTACAGCTGTATTTGGTTACACTTTGGATGGGAAGTAGGCTGGTTGCTTTTCTTCTTGGCTTCTAAGCCTTGCTCCTGAATCCTTTCCACACACACAACTCTTATTTCAAAGAGAAACCCCACTGGGAGGCTGGGAGATCTGACTGTGAGAGAAGGAAGTTATGCTAATTTCCCACCGCCCAAGACCCCAGTGAGCAAACAAATACATGCAGTTCAGGCTCTGCCATCTCATCCCGCTTCCCTTCCCCCCAATACCTTGTGTCTACGTAAAAAACGTCCAAACCTACGGAGAATTTTTATGAACTTATTTGAGCCAAACTGATAACAATTGCCAGGAATTGACAAAACGCTCCAGAGAGTGGCAGTTTTGCAGCTTATTTTATACATTAGAGTCAAAGCAGGAGATGTAAGAGGGTTTACATGAAATTCTTTGGCATTAACTACATTCCTATTGCCGTGCAAAGATCAACAACATCCATTCCCAGAACTTATTCATCTTCCCCAGCTGAAACTTTGTCCCCATTAGACATTACTCCTCATTCCCTTCACACACACACACACACACACACACACACACACACACACTTCTAGTCCCTAACAACCACCATTATGAGTACTCTAAGAATCTCATTTATGAAGAATCATATAATATTTGTTCTTTTGAAGCTGGCTTATTTCACTTAGCATCATGTCTTCAAGATTCATCACGTGTCAAAATGTCCTTGATTTTAAATGCTGGATAAACAGTGTGTATCTACCGCATTTTGTTTATGCATTTATCATTGATGGACACTTGGATTTACTGCCTCTTCTTGTGTATTAGGGTTTTTGTTGTTGTTGTTTAAATGAGAAATAACTTTTAAAGCCAAGTTTTTCCTGAGAATGTATTTAGTACATAAAGCATCAAAATATTACTAGTTTGGCCGGGACCGGTTTGGCTCAATGGATAGAGCGTCGGCTTGGGGACTGAAGGGTCCCAGGTTCGATTCCGGTCAAGGGCATGTACCTTGGTTGCGGGCATATCCCCAGTAGGGGGTGTGCAAGAGGCAGCCAATCGATGACTCTGTCTCATCGATGTTTCTAACTCTCTATCTCTCTCCCTTTCTCTCTGTACAAAATCAATAAAATATATTTAAAAAAAAAAATATTACTAGTTTGACTAGAGTTTCTTATGCTCCGGTTTGAATGTGATTCGTGGTTCTCAGGATGGAGCAGGGAGATAACCTGAGCTAAAGTTCAAACGAGCTTCTTGGGTACTCCTAAGGAAAACATCGCCCTGTGGCCCATTTCCAGCCGCTGACTTCTCTGAGGGCCAAGGAGCCTCCTGGGCAAAGACCACAAACTCTGCTGCATTTGGTATCCAGACACATGCCATGTCTGTTGGAACAGGGGCAGAGCTAAAGAAGGGATTCAGTGAGGACCAAAATACAAAAGAAAATTGTGGAGTCTCAAAGAGAAAGTTTATTCTGAGGGGTTCAGCTGCTGGGCCCTAGAGTTAGTGAGGAGTCGTGGTTTCTGCAAAGGTGGCCCATGGGTACTCCGGAAGCCAAAAAGCTCTAAATGCAAACTCAAAGAGCTGCTTTACTGAACTCCACATGGTTGGGGTCCAGTAAGCCTGCTGCAGGACAGCCCTTGCCACCATTCTCTGATGAGCATCCCCCAGAGGAAGGGTGAAGTGTCCCTCCTCCTTACACAGGAGACTGGCCAGCTGTTCTGGCACTAGTCCTGGTGGTTGGTGCAGGTCTGCAGCTTTGGAGGAGGGGCAGGGAGCTCAGAACAGCCTAGTCTGGCTGCGCCTTTTGTGTGAGAGAGCCAGAATGAATGGTGTCTGTACCCCGTAAATGCACCAATACTCTTTGGGAAGGAGGGAAGGAACATTTTTCAGAGGGTTGGAGTATGTGGGGGAAATGGTGACTGTAACTTGGGCATGGACGTTCGTGTGTCCTCATATGTACCCACAGCATTTGAAGCCTTGGGAACATTTGGTTATTCTTCCTTGGCAAAGAAGGCACTTTTCTCCACTCGATCTGCAGAGGACACTCTTGGATCTAGGAGAATCGGTCCATTCAGGATTCAGAAAGTAGCGAGGTTGTGTAGGCTGTGGCTCTGCTCTGCAGCAGCCTGGGAATGTCAACATCTTTGGTTTTGTCTGTCATCTCAAAACAACACGGAATTTGAGAAATGGTCGACAGTGAGCAGAAAACATTTTGTGAGTAGTTTTAGTGGAAACAGATCAGTTAATATCTCAGAAAAAGACCCAGATTTTTAAAGTGAAGAACCCAGTGAGAATAGTGTATCGGGTTCCTGCACGGTGGCCAGAAAACTAGGCTGAGGGTCAGAAGGATGGTCTTGAATCCATACTGCACCACATATTAGTCATGTGCCTAATGTGCACTCATTTTTTTGGTGACAACCCTCTGCATGCTCACCACAGAGTCAGAATAATTCTTGTCTGGACTGCTGTGCACAGCATGTGAGATAATGAGTGTGAAAGAGCAAGCCTGAGGTTGGCCCACATTTTGTGGGAAAGGAGGCCCAGTATCTTCACAGGTAATTCATCCTCAAACACCTTTTTCTCTAGAACATCCCCAGTAACCTCACCCCATTTATCACCAAACTGAGTCAATCAAGCAATATAGAAACACTATTTTCACACAACAGTGTACCAGCATCATTCATTATATCTATGTAACGTTTAACGACGTTCAGAACAATTCTATGTCTGGTGTATGCCGTGTGTTAGGACTCCTGCATTTGGAGGCCGGTTGCTTCCCTTTCTGCTTCCTGGCTGTGTAACTTCTTCCCTCTGATCCCACTGCAGCAAGCACACAACACGGCAGTGGCTGAAATTGTACAAATGGGTCCAATGTAGTGAACCATCGAGTCCCATACATCATACATGTGCAAAGAGAGCTTATTTTACCGATATATGTATTATCAGACACAATCCTCAAAGTTAGAAGAACAAAAAAAAAGGACAATTTTGACTTAAGAGGGGGATGTAGCGAAAGATATTGGCCAGGATGTCACCAAGCAGCTGGGAAGGCTGGAAACCCAGACCTGGACACTGAGCAGCCAGAAGCAGTCACAACCAAGCCAGAGAAATGGTCCAGAGAGCATTCCCACTGCCCCCTTATCCCCCTGCCCTGTCCCCCTTGAACATCAGACAACGCAGCCTGCCAGAATTGGACTCTGAACACCACTGTTGACAATGCTGCCTCTACTGCCCTGGGGAACAGAACGAACGAGGCGACCCCCTCTTCTGCTGCCCGCCAGGACTCTCTGTGTCCTTATTTTCTTGAATCACTAGCCCCAAGTCATATCCAGGGTTCAAACTTCCAGTCCTAAGATTAATACATTCCCTACATCTAATGTACAGTATGGTGATGAGTAAACAACTAGAGACCCATTGCAGGAAGATTCCTGCAAGAATAGGGCTTCCCGGGGCCTGAGTGAAGCAGAGAAGGGCGTGAAGCCAGCTAACCCACCACCTTCCTGCGCTTCCTCTCCCACTGCCGCTGCCGCCCTCGCCTCGCTCTCCGCTTTCCCTCCCTCTTCCTGTACACTGTCTTCAGTCTTCGCTTCTTGCCTGCGTATGCAAATTAACCACCACCTTCGTTTGTTGATTTGCATACTCACTCTGATTGGCTAGTGGGCATAGCAGAGTGGTGGTTAATTTGCATGTTTCTCTTTTATTAGTGTAGATGCTGTATTATATACTTGAAAATTGCTAAGAGACTAGATCTTAAGTGTTCGCACCACAAAAAAAGAAATGGTAATTATGTGACATGATGCACTAGCTAATGGTCATCATTTTGCAATACATAACTGTATCAAATCCACACATCACGCACCTTAAACTTACATAGTTAAACGTTAACAATGAAGCTTATGAGAAAAAGACTGTATTGAAAATATATATTTCAG